TTGGTCATGGAATTTTTCTACGAACCAAAGTCCAAGAGCTGCGAATAGACAGCAGRCAGCAGACAGCTCAGCTTCAATCGGGAGAGTGTTATATTATACTATATTATAATATATACAATGGTATATATACATATATATGCACATATATATCATATAACACACTCGACTTGTGACTTGCCATGACAACTTTTTTGTGCTATTTTTGGTCAACTAATTACGTGTCGCTTGCATTCAAGAATCTTGAAATTCAATTAAGTGTCGCATTAGACTCGGGCTCTATCTATATACAGATATAGATTTGTAACAGCTACTTAGACTTGCCATTAGCACAAGTGAGGTGTTTATATATAAATATATATAAATATATATTCGTAAGTCTAGATTTAAATAATGTCCGAGAGTCTATCAATTAATTGCATACTTGAAAGCGTCCTAACGTGGGCTTTTCTGATAAAAATCAATAAATCGCTGCCATTGACGAAGTCATATGTGAAACGGATTTGTCTGCAAAATGAATTCGACTCATAATATAAGCATTAGTATATAGCATCATATATACAAATGTGCTTACATACATACTTATGTAGATGAGTCTAACTTCCCCCGAGGTTCTGCGAAAAACGTCAAAAATATTTGATTTGTACATGCGTAGCAAACTTTTTAGACTTCATTTAATTACACAATATTCAAATGAGCTTCAATGGGCTTGTTTATTAATTTGTTTATAATTAATTTCAGCCGTTGCGAAGCTGCAAAAGACAAATTTTTTATAATTTTTTAATTATAATTTTTTTGGAATTTATTAAAAATAAAACTAACCAAAATAATACAAATTATTATTTCAGTTGATTATTTTAAGGCTAAAGTTAATATAAAAAATCTCATAATAATATATAGATGCCTTCGGCTAATACAAATATTTTAAATCTCAACAACAAAATACTAAGAAATTAGGAAATATTTCTTCCTATTGTGTTCCACAGATTTTGCTATAATTGAACATATTTTGAGCTCAATCAAGCTAAAGAAATGGCATATTTCTTATATATCTAGTAAAATTCTCTAGAACAAAAATATAAATATTTGATGTAAAATTATATTCCATTCAGATTAAGTTTTTAAGTTAAAATATAGTATAATATTAAGTTA